CCCCCCCCCCCCAAAAAAAAATGGCCATTTTTTGGCTAATCCGGTTTTCTGGTTCACCCCCCCCCTAACTGATCCGGATCCAGGTGGACCAGGTAGGTGAACCGACCGGTTGCCAGCCCAACCCTGGTTTCAACCGCTGCAACACTCCTCAGGTATGTACCTGACTCCCTCCTCCTCCTCCTTTTCTCTCTCGCTCGCTCTCTCTCTCTATACTCTACTTCTCTCTCTCTCTTTCACTTCCACTGCTCCTCGCTCACTGTTCCTCTCTCTACAATGTCCCAGATCTACCCTGAATGTGTGCGGTTACGGCCGCCAAACACTCCTCCCTCCTGGTTATGGTGGTCTGTTGCACCCAGGTTGCTACTCCATTCCTCCTTTCAGCGTTCTTCTTCGTCCAGGTTGCTACTCTGCACAAGCTCCCACCAGCACTTCCACAAATTTGTGAAATGAACAACTGACTGCCTCTGGCGCTGTAGTCCAAGATATATAGTTGTAGTGGACTGTTTCGTGCCTGCTTCAATCGGTACTGGCCTCCTTCAGCCTCTGCTTTGCCAATTGCTATTTTGGGAAATTTCCCGAGGCTGCTGCAAAATTGTACTTTTGGGGACTTGGCGTGCTCCTACTGGTACTGTATGGTACTGTAGCCTACTGACCTACGGTGTCTGATCCTACAGGCCCTAAGACTCTAAACCATAGTTGCGGCGCACCTCGGTGCGCGAATTTGCGCACGAATTGCGCACCACGTGCAGCGCAGCGCACAGCGCACCGAAGCGCAGCGCACTTGAAAAATTAGGTCAGAAAAAAAAGAAAAAAAAGTAGGGGTTTTGTAATTTCTTAGGGCCCCCAACTCGGCAAAAATGTTAAACTCACCGCGCAAGCTCACAAACCGGCCGCGCCCACGGCCCGAACTTTTATTTTGGGTAAGGACTGCTGAAAATTCGATTTGTGCAGGCCCTTCCCCCAAAAGTTTCAGAATGGCGAGGCACAAAATAGGGCTCATTCCAACTTTTGTTTTAGGCGGGGTATAAAAGCTGTCCTTCCCGCTGCCTTCTGCAAATCCCACACAGTAGTGGGGTAAGTTCGCAAGAAGGGGTAGTCGCCTAATAACGACCTGCCCCGCGAAACTTCGCAGAAGTCACGAACTGCATGTCCTATCGCCAGCCGACCACCAATATATGCTGAAGATTGGCGTTCAGGTCCGTATGTCGGCAGTTATGGGTTAGGATGAAGATGCCCGTGGCTCTCTCGTTTTTTTGTTTTTGTTTTCTTACGAATACATCGTGGGGATGCACAAAAGACATAGCATATGGCAGTGTATGGTTCCATGTTTTAGCAGAAGATTCATTCTACTAATATTATATACATTTGGTGAGTGGTGGAGGGAGGCCCTGAGAATCA